TCATTCAATTTCTTTGTGCAATCAAAACCACTAGTCATACTCACTTTTTCAGAATTGCAGCAACAACAGCATCATTTCCAGCAAGCAAAACTGGGGATGTCTGCATTCATGCAAGTACATCAATATTCAATCATCAAGAGGTCGATCTTGTAACATTTAGCTCAAAGTTAAATCATGAGAAAACAGAAACCTCAAAACGTAATTGCTACCTACCTTATGAAAATTCAAAGTGCATGTTACATTTAACTCTGGAAGTAAATGTAAATACCGCACTTCACCCAACTCCAACTGTGTTAGAAGTGTGAGCATCACCTGCCAAAACAAATACCAGGAACAGAATATCTTAGTACACAGCTTCTGAAACTCCTTGTAAGTGATTCTTCTATCATGACTCGACATCAAAATTCAGAATACTGAATAGCAACAGTAGCAGGGAAGGACCTCTTCTTTCATATCAAACTTGCGGGATGCAATTTCTTTAATCAATGAACAAATTTTCCCATGCAAGCTCTCAACACTGGTGAATACTTGACAGAGGAATTTGTTCACCACATATTCATCCACACCATCACTGAGAACACAATACAGTAAAGTTGTGAACCACTTTTAAACCTATGAAAGTCTTTGAAAAACCGAAGTTAATAGAAGATGTAATCATATTTAACTACCTATACATAAGACTGCGAAGTTTGAAATATGTATCCTCATCAAAATAAAGATGGCAATAGGACAACCTCCCATCCCGTCCAGCACGTCCGATCTCCTATATAATTTTATCATTCATTTTGTTAACAAATTCTGAGATAAAGAACATCTTTTAACCATTCAGTGGTTTAGAAGAAAGTTCCACCTGAACATACTCCTCCAAGCTTTCTGGCAAGGTGTAATGAATCACCTGAAAAAGATGCAATTAGGACTTCGAGAAACGATTTCTAAACAATAAGCCAGCAAGCATAGATGCAGATATATGCCATCATGAAGTAAACATGTGCACACATGTGTTCATGTATGCATGCTAATGACTACAGTGTCTACTAAATAGGCCTTGACTCTCTTTGTGGGGTGGAACTACCAGACATTTTCTATGGACTTTCTAAGAAGCTAGGAGCACAAGCCACACTTAATATCGACCTACCCATCTGTGCACTGCAAAGTTTAATATGCTGTTCAGTACAGACACCAACTGTTGCCTTTCTCAGGTTACAATTCAAGTGAATATAATTCGATGAGCAACCCTAATCATGAGTATTTCCAGAAAAGGAAAAAAAGTTAAAGAGTATAGTTTCTCTTACAGCACCAATATCCCTCTTGTCAAGGCCCATGCCAAAGGCCACAGTTGCAACAACCTTCCATGAAAACATATAAGTCAATCATCCAAGAATCCGAAAGTTGAATTTTGCTACATATAAAAAAAGAAAGGAAAAAGAAACATATCCGTAACATAATGAAAAGAGCATAATACAGGATTAAGGCATGAACAGGGTAATATTCTTACCACACGAATCTTGTTAGTGAAAAACAACTCCTGCACACGACTACGATCTTTTGCAGGGATGCCACTGTGGTAACTCTGAATAGCATTTTACAATGTGGTCAGATTTTACCATTCCTCACCAAGAGTTACATGCAAGTTATAATTCATGCAACTATGAAATATGGAAAGCTGACCTTTGCAGAGATATTATTGTCGCATAAGTATCGGCTTATCATTTCAGTTTCAAACTGCAAAATTAGAATGCAAGGAATATTTTCCACTCAGTGTCAAGAACGTAGGACTATATTCATCCACACTAAATGAGTATTAACAAAGAATGTATATTCATTGAAAAAAGTGATAGTGATCCTCAGCCACCAGTAGTTTAACAGTATTCTAATCCCGCCACAACATATTTAGGGGCACATAGCATGACAATCTGAAGTTTGAGCATTCCCTCATACAAGAAAGAGGGACAAGTTTACAGAACTACTTAATCTTGCTGAAAATGGTATCTTTGAAAACCCCTTAAGACTACCCAATATACAGTGTTTTAAAACATCTCAACAAAACACTGACATTTGAATGACACTATGTGTACCTGAAACTTGCAGTAGATAATGATGCTCTGAACATCCGTGAATGAAGTAGACTTGATCAACATCAGCAGATCTTTCATTCTATTTATTCATAACAAATTTAGTTAATCGTGTAAGAAAACTGATAAAACAAAGGGGGAGTAAGGAGTACTCAGACTTACCTATTTCTGCTCAATGACACTGACAGTTGTAAATTGTCCCTCAGTATGGCTTTTTGAATGAGATTGGTTGGAGGAATCTCTAAAGCTGACATCACAGAACCCAAAGTCGTGGCTGTGGCAGTAGCTGTCATTGCAAGAATGCAGTTGACATTGAGCTTGGCACGAAGCAAAGATGCTCTGAGCCTCATAAATGAGGGACGGAAATTATGTGACCTGGAAAAACCTTCAAAATTAAGTATTTAGGGGGAATCACATGTAATAAGATATGAAATTGAGCTGGAAGAGTGAGGAGTAATTACCAAACTACAAAAAACATGTATTAAGACAACTAAAATCAAGAAGACAACAGTTTGTGCAACCATCACTATTCACTCACCATTCAGAAATGCAATGAGCTTCATCCACCACAACAAGAGATATAACTGTGGTGGTGGAAAATATGGATAGAAATTCTGCATTCAAAAACCTCTCTGGCGAAACTAAAAGCACCTGCAGTACAACACATCAAACCTTAGCTCTCCAGAAACAGTCCAAATAGAAATAACTTGTACACTTTATGAGCACTAAAGGTAAAACACATTCTGTATCCATGAAAGACGAATGTAACAACAAAACATTCAAAGCATGCATATGATTATGACAATTAATCAGTAATGCAGACAAATTAATCTTACAAAGGTTGATATACCAACCTTTATGGCCCCTTGTTGAAGCAGCCTTATTGTCTCGGAGGCTTCTTCAGGTCTCTACGAAAACAAAAAGAATCAAATTACACACATATTTGCATTGAGGCAATGAGAGAGAGAGCATGACATACCTGACTGCTACTCAAAAGACCACCACGAATCATATGAGGCAACTGCTTCAGCTGGTCAATCATCAATGCAATCAATGGACTAACAACCAAAGTAAGCCCGGGTAAAATTATGGAGGGCAACTGATAACACAACGATTTGCCACCACCCGTAGGCAAAACAAGCATTGTCGACTTTCCTTCAAGCACCATCTTGATCGCCTCCAACTGCCCATCTCGGAATGAATCGTACCCATAAGTTAGACTCAACAATTTCACCAAGTTCTCATCCGACGGCTCATTTCGAGCCGCCGAAACCGCCGCTTCAAACAATTCGGAATCAAATTTCGGTCTTTTACCGTCCTGCTTCCGATTCTGTTGTTGTACCATAGCATCTGTAACCAACTCATCTTCTTCACCAACAGTCTCACCCTCATTTTCACCTTGTGATTTCAATTTCCTTTTGCCCTTTCTATAAAATTTTCGACGACCTGATGAACTGCTATTTCCTCTTCTGTTCACAAATTTGCGTTTCCTGCGATTCAGGTTGAGCTTGACGAAGTTCCCTTCAGCCCCACTTTTTCGGAACTTTACAGGCACCGAAGGCACATTCCCTCCAACCAAATCGAAACGTTTCTTTACAGCTATAGCTGAAACTCCAGACCCGCTAGCCACTTCACGCTTTGGCTCTGGTGGTACCCAATCGGGCACAGAAGAATCAGACTCGCCCTTCTCTGCCTTCGGCTGAGGCTTTGGGGCCGAAGAAGAAGATGACGGCTCGTCGTCTTCGAAAGAATCGAAATTGATGGTGGTTCGTCGAATTTTCGAGAACGACGGTGACTTGTAGAAGTGTCGGCCCTGCGGGGCGAGAAGTGTATCGCCGGAATCAACGGCGGGAATCACACGGGATGGATCGGACGGCCAGCGGCATATCTGGTAAGGTAAAGTGGGGGAGAGAAGGGGAGATGGATCCGGTGGTGGGTCGGGTCGGGTGGGCTCCGAAGAGGGATTTTTGGGTTCGGAAATGGGGTTGGATTTGGATGAGGCTCTGAATCTAAGTATGGATTTGTGGGAGGGTAGAAGGGCAGGCTTTGGCTTTGGTTTTAACTTTGGCTCTGGTTTTGGCTCCAAAGGCTTTGGCTGTGGCTGTAGCTGTGGTGGTGGTCGAGGTGGTCGTTGCCGTGAGGGTTTAGTGTGCCTTGGCGGAGTGGTGGAGATGTGAGAGCCATCTGAGTCTGAACTGGATTCCATGGTAGATTTTGGTTGAAGAAATTGATTTAAGTTTCACGTCCTGTCCTTTATCTATGTTTATGGGTTTCCCGCCATTTTGTGGAACTTTTCTTTGCCGCCCTGTTTTGAGCTCCTCATTTTATGTAAATTTTAGGACCTATTTTTATGGGATACTTTTGTCCATTTTACTTGCAGGGAGTTTCATTCCATTGGGTACGTATAGAAATTGAACATTTTGTTTAACAAAAACGGAAAGAAAAAAGTGGAATATTTATTTTACATGTAGGTGTACTAATCATAAAAATAAAATAAAACTAAAAACCAATAGACTTTTCTCTCTCTTTGTTTTGAGTACAAGTGATAATCTAAACTATAGGAAAGCAGAATTTCTCACACACACACACAACTAAGATGTCATGGAAGTTCAAACCTAAGACTTCTTGTCTCTCAAGGCGACACCTTTCTCCACCTTTCTTTTAGTAACACTAGCAGACCCAATTTTTAATGGGCTTGGTTTCTTGCTTAATCCAAGCTTGGTAATTTATTTATTTTTTAATTCAAGTAATATTAGAAGACATAAAGAGAAAATCAAACACGGGTTCATATTCTATGAGTAAATTCTCTTAACCACTTAAAAGCTAAATGAGAGGATCTCTTGACCACTTATTACGAGACAAGGCCTTGAATTAGAAACCAACATACTCTTTATGCCTGCTCCAATAAACTATGCAAAAAAATCGAGGTATATTTTTGAAACAATCATAATGAATATGAATCGGGTTCTCGTACACACACACTTAACCTAATGGAGGAATTGAACCACATCGGAATCGGAATCACTGATTCAATAACAAGAGACTGTGGGAAGTGGAGGCAAACACAAACCCCTCCAATGCCTCTCACCATTATCAGCCCAATGACAGGGGAGAACTTTACAATTACGTCATCAAAACACCGTGGATTCTTACAAATATATTGCACCAACCAACAGAAACAATTGCCAACTACCCCAAACAGCCCCTTCAAACATAAAACCCTTAAAATACAAGAACTCAGGACCATCTCCTCCTTGGAGGCCGAACTGAACCACGGAATGCAGGGAGTGGTCAAAATGCACGGCGGCCACTTTAAGCAGGATTTCAATGAATACTTTTCACATTATAGTGCAGTTGCACTTGGATTCCAGCTTTGGAGGCTTCATGCCGTCTACCTTGTTAGGAAGCCCTACATTGCGTTGCATAGACTCGTCAACATTCTCATCGTTCTCAGTCTTACTAACAGGGGGTTCGGCATCTGTTTCCACCCACTTTTGCCGGCTCTTTCGAGGTTTTGAAGTACGTCGACCAACAGTTCTGCCACGTGGTTCCTTTCTCTCAGGATTGGACTTCCCCAATATTGTAACTGTAGGCTGCAAACCTTCTAAGGGGGCTGGGCTTTCCTTTTCCATTGCTATGGCTGCGGCCTCGTAGGCCAGATCATGGACAAGGGAGCTGCAGAAGAGTATTGTATCTGTTGCCTCTTCTAGTGTCAGGCTTTTTGTCTTGCTTCGACCTCGACACTCAACCATTACTGTTGATTCCTCTTCTAAAAAAAACATGAGATCTTGTCAGCTAATCACTCTAATTCCATCTCAAAACTGAGAATTAGCACAATACAAACATGAGAGAAACATAATGCATAATGGAGTATAAGGTGGTCAGGATATCATGCTTCTTTCAACAACTGGAAAAGATGAGGGTCCGATAGCATGAGGGACAGCAAAATAGTCATAGAATATAGTAACACTAAATCATGAACCCCACGTGATACTCATCCTCACAAAAAAACAAAAACAAAAAAGAAGAGTTTGTCAAACTCTAACTAGCAAAAAAAAAAAATCAATGCAAATCATAAATCATACCTAGGATGCCATATGCATTAGTAGTGTTGTTGGTCTCTGGAACAGATGTCAGATCACTGTCAGAAGGAATTGGAACTGAAGGCTCCTGAAATTCCTCCAAAGTGCTCCTTGATTCCAGGGAAGCATCATCGTTGAGTGAACAAGGGTAAGTCTGATGACATTTTTCAGTTTCTATTTCTGATACTGATACTGTAACCAAAGAGCTGTGAGTAGCAATCTCTTCAACATCCAGTCCGTCAACAGTACTGTTGAGATTGGTGTTTCCCTCCTTGAATGATGGCTCTGGAGTTACAACTTCTACATCTGTGGAACTCCTTGCATTGTTTTGCAATTCTTCACCGTGCTCATTTGAAGCACCATTTTCACAAATTGGAAATTTTGCTACCCAATTTTCTTCTAATGGAGAGCTAACTGCATGGCTCGACAACTCTGAGTTAGAAGTATCAACTCTTCTACTGCTAGAATTGAACTCAGTATCATCTTCCTCAACAACAGTTGTCCTGGTAGAAGTAGTAGTAGCATCTGCGTCTGTACATTCTGAAGCTAGCAAGCGTTCTTGCGATGTTATGTGAGTCACCTCTGTAACATCACGTTCCAAAATTCCCCCAGCAACCTCAATATCATCATCAAGTGTGTTTGATGAAAGACCTAGCGCTTGGTGAGCATGGTTTGAATCTCCATAGGAAGATGATGCAATGCTTTGGGGTTTTATATTGGTGTCATGTCTGTGATTCTCCATGTCTGACTTCTTGCCACTCAACTGTCGCTGCACACGAGTTTCAGTTTGTCTAGCTGAACCGAAATCAACTGAAGATGATGCAGAGAAACTACCATGGCCAATGGAGCTTCTCATACTGTTTGAACTATCTCTAGCATATGACAGATCCTCATAAGGTATGGTAGTGGCTGTGAAAGTCCTGCCCTGAACAACTGCCCCTTTGCTACTGCTTGTCCTCTTCAGAAGTATGGAAATGCCTGCACCTTCTGAAATGTCAACCCTCATATTTCGATAGTTGTTAGAATGATGCAAATTCTGACCCCCAATGTCACTATTAGGTAGCCCACAACCAACAGTCTGTGAGTCCACCTCTTGCTGGTTAGCAAGCCCATCCTCAACTCTCTCCACCACTGGTCTTACAAGGGATTTTTCCTGTAAACAATTAGGGAATTTCTCACTGCAGATAGTTTGGCCTGGATCAACATTCTCTTCACCCTGAGAACTCTGTGGTTTCCCCAAATCAGAAACTTGTGGAGATCCAGGCACAACCATCATGGTTTCCATTGCATCCAAAGGCTTTTCTTCTTCCAAATTTTTTACAGACAAAGGTGTGGAGTTTTCAGGAACTACAATTATCTCCGGAATAAGGACACTCAGAAGTTTATCTTTCCTACTGCACTCTGGACAAAATTTAATGTTCCTTTCCACCTGATCCAAAACATAATACCTGCGACCACATTTAGGACAAGGTTCCATGTCTTCGAGACTATCAATTTCTGAAAAATCACCCTTAACATGAGAATCTTCTGAGGTTGGACTGACATCCATGATGATATTGGGGCGACCATAATCTTCAGAGTGAGCAGCTCCACCCTCCACTGCAGTGCCTCTATTGAAGTCAACCTGATGAAGGTCATGTGGCCCATCATGGATATCATGGCCTGTGTCTTCATTTACTGCATCCATCTTATCAAAGACAAATACCTCTTCATGAACATCAGAGTATGCCACTTTCTCAGATTCACTGGCCATATCATCCTGGTTGTGATCACTCCCTTCCGTATCAGGTGCAACACTAGTACCTAGATCAGAACTTGCATTGCTGCTAGTTGTGACTGAAGAGTTCCTGGAAATCAGAGGGCGATGCACAGAACTTGCTTTTCCGACATAGAAGGTGCTACTGGGAACACTAGATAAGAGTGGCCTAAACATCTGAGGACTTTTACGGTGATCCTGCACAGACATTGGAAGGCATTAATTCTATGAAATGTGAAAACCTATAACGAATGAACAGAGAAATCATAATGAGGGAAGTGCACAATGTAACATATTTAATAATTATAGGATTTCAATGCTCTACATTTCATTGAAAAACACTAGACCATAATGAAAACCTAATAAAAATATGAACAGAGAAGGAACTTATAATAATTCAGTACACTTCCTGTTTTTGGCATTTTTTATAATTTCAGTTACCCAATGTGATTGTCATTACTTGAAATAGGAAAGAAACACACACCACAAAGACAGTGAATTGAACAAGCAAGAGAATACATTTGCAGACAACAATTTTGAAAATTCTAAATAATTAAAGGGCTAAGTTATTATAAATTAATTTCCTCTCATTAGATGACAAAAGAAATATCTTATCATAAAGGATCAATTAAATGCACTAGATCATTAAGTACCATTTGTCGAAGAGCAGAATCAAAGGATCTTTTTGGAGCGGAAGATGAGGACACCATTTTGGCTGGTCTTTTTGAGAAGGCCACAGCTCTGTTGTTTGAGAAAGCAGCAACTCTTCTTGAAGTTGATCGGTCTAAACTACCCACAGGAAGAGATTGCAGAGAGTCTACATCATCATCACCAGAAGATGCTATAGAACATTTGCTGTGAGAACTAAATGGATCTCGATCATGACTATGAGATGAACTAACACTTCTAGAAGCAGTTGGAGACATTGATTGCCTTCTGTAGTTGGAGGAATGGTCCCTATCATTTCTAGATGCTGGTGAGGAACCCCTCACATATGTTGCAGGTCGATCAGCAAGAGAAGTACGAAGGTTGGGAGGTGCATCAGAGGAGAAGCCTGGAATATTTGTTTGCCATGCTCTTATTTTTGGTGAAGCAGAGTTCCCTCGACTTGTTTTTACCGGAGAAGTTCCTCTTATCCCCAGTGAGGCCACAGTACTACTGGACCCAGTGCTCATTCTCCGTGGTGTTGGGGTAGAAGACCTCAGAGCAGGTGTTGGGGATTTACTTGGGGGAGTAGATGGTCTCTGTGATGGAGTAGATGGTCTCCGTGATGGAGATGGAGTAGCAGGCCGAAGACTTGGGGTTGGACTGGAATGACGTACAGGTGACGGCCTTCCCCTTGACTGAAATGAACTATTCCCAGAACGAGGAGATGGGCTTAAGCGATTAGGACTAGCACTACCCCTGCTGCTTCGGTAACTCTTCTCCATCTGCAAATGAAGCAAGTATGATGTATAGTATAAGGAAAATTATGATCTCAGCATAATCTTTTAAGGAAATATTTCAGAGACCAAGCATAATCAAATCCCATAAAAGTGAGTTGACTCCCTACCGTGGATGATCTTGATATAGTAATAGGTTGACTTCGAGGTCTGCCCCTCTGTGGTGCATTAACCGGTGGTGGCTCATTATCCAAGGAAGGAAAAAGAGGGGTGTCGGGAGGCGTTAATAACCTTTGACATTTAAACACCAGATCATTCCATCAATAAAAAGGGGCAAACAGGGCGGACACTGAAAAGTATCATGAAAAGAACAAAATGCAATGTATTTCTCATAACATAATGACTGTTCAGTTTTTGCTCTGTGAATAAATGGACAATTTCAGGCAATGACATTTTGCAGCTTTTGGACAGAAAAGCTTAAATCTCAGATAAATCAAAATATACATTAAATAGACAAACCCTCTTCGAGATGATTTTGGCACTCAGAAAATCACTTCCCACACTCCTCTATTATCTCGCACGCGAGGAGTGCATACTGTTATTTAAAATTGTTTGTCATCCAAAAAAAAAAAACATAAAAACTTCTGCTTTCTTTGTCATCCAAAAAAGTAAATTATTGTGGTCTACATAACATAACAATTCCCAGTTTTACGGGCAGGACACTTGTTTTACAACCTTGGTTTTGGTGAATCACAACTTTAAAATGTAAAACGCATACCCTTTCAAATTGTAAAACACATGAAAATTGTTCCTAGATTCAATTTAATCTTGTTTTTAGTTCTTCAGAATGCAAAGCACATCATAAAATTAGTAATACAGCAACTCACTTAAGAAATCAGAAAAAAGAAAAAGTATAATTCACCAGTCATAGTCATTTTTCTCCCCCTCCACATTAAGCAGGTCACTACTCTCTCCACGTGTAGGAATGGTGATTCCGAGCTTCAAATCTGAAAATTGCCTCAATTTTGTAGCTGTAACATTGAAAATATACAAGAAGCCCTGTCAGTCAGAGACAAAATTCTGAACTCTCCACCTCCTATAAAATCATAAATAAATGTCATCTTACAAAATGTGTCTTCGAGATCATCCGACGACTGAAGCAAGAAATCCTCTTTTTCTCGCGTCTGCATTTCGTTGAATAAGGCAAGATCTTCATCTTTCTCTTTCAAAAAACTTCCACTCTCAAAACTGCGACCTCGTCTGTGATGGTTCCCTCTCGGCTCTCGTCCGGGAGAGCATCTCATTGCCGGCGAAGGAGGCATCTCTCACCACCAAAAGCTACAAACTCAAAACCGCCAGCCCAAACTCTCCTTACAACGCAAATTGAAGCAATAGCCCATCATATACATCTAGCTAGCTAGCTACTACTCACAATGAAAATAAATTATGCCCACAATCACTTTCCCAGTTTCACTTCAGAAACCAAACTCCTTTCTGCTTCGCGTCCACGCGAATTGCTTCAAATTAATTGAATTTCAACCCCAGCCACTTAATACCAATGCGAAGCATACATGGTATGGTAAGCCCAAGTCAACTCAAAGACGAAATCTTTTGTTAAAATGGATAAAAAATTGCATAAATTAATATAGCAACTGAAATAACCGTACCATTCGCAATGCAGAGGCTCAACGTCCACGTATGTAATCTAATCAAATAAAGATCTTCATCGTGCAGCACAACCCCGAAACCCTAGATGCTGCCATTTGAAGACACCAAAGCAGAGACGGCGCCACAAGAGCAAAACAAAACCTAATTCAAACCCCAATTCAGCCCCCACTGGCCACTCTAAACCTCCATTGAAGTCGAAATTACAAGCCAAAAATCACCATTTCGGCGAAAGTAGTTGCAGTCTGCTTGGCTCACAGAGACAAAAATGGCTTCAACAAAACCCAGTGTATGAGCAGCAACTGCGATCCCGAAAACTCGAAGCTGAACCACAGAGCTCGAAGATTCCAATCGCAACGCGACGAATGTTGTATCAGACAGTCGGATCTAAAGCATTAATTGCTTTGTCTAGGTGTACGGATCGGAAGCTAAAGCGGTAGTGGATCGGTGCGAAAGAAGCGTCAATTTTCTAGCATTCTCTCTCCTCCGAGAAAATTTGATGCGGAGAGAAAGTGAAATTGGGGGGTTTAAACTGGCTTTTGTTGTCGTCTAGATTTGCTTCTTTCCTCCACAACAAGCTTTCATTTTCTTTGCTTCTCAGTTTCTCTTTGCTCATCAAATATTTCCTTTCTTTTCTTTTCTGTTTTTTTTTTCCTGTTTTTCTTTCTGTCAATTGCACTTTTTTCTTCTTCTTAATTTTTACGACCGTGCCACTGCCGCTATAGTAAGTATTGTCTACTTATCTTAACCTCTCGTCTTCATTCTTTTGTTTTCATGTATTTATAAGAACATTGTTTTCATATGGATTTTGTATTTTTATTTCTCTAGTTAAAAATAGAAATAAATTAGAATAAAGGTTATAAAGGTGACGGAAAATAATGCAAATGATTTATAAAATAACTTAAATAGTCATATTTTTTTATATTTTTTTAGTTTTTAAAAAAAATAATGAAAATCGTATCAAACAAAAAATAATAATTACTATGTTTGCACGTTTAATTTTTTTTTTTCAAACAAAGTAATATTCTAAATTACTATTTATGTATGATAATGAGAATCGAACTCTCAGATGCAAAATGTAATATTTTAAATTACTCTAATTATTATATTTAAGTGATTGAAAATATCATAATTAACATGATAAAAACTTAAAATGTATAGATTTTATTTTTACAAAGCGATATTTTAAATTATTCTCATATACAGGGGAAGGGATCGAATAATGTACGGGTGTGGGTTGAATCATTTTAATAATTTTTAGTAAATTGGTTACCATCAAATTTATGAAGATTTCTCATATTTATCTGATGGATATCTTTAAACGTAAAATATAAATAATACTCCATGCGAAATTAAAGATTAGTTGGATTGGCTATTAGTTTCTTTCTTGGTGGGATGTTTCTTTTCCGGTGGAGTATGTGCCTGGGCAGATGCATTAAAAGGTGGATTTGGAGCAGTACATTTACTATTTTTATTTTTGTGAATGCAGCGCGATTTGAAATTATGCGTTTTTTTTTTTGGGGGGGAATAAATTATGAGTTTAATGGCCATAAAATGTATTCAAGTCAAATAATTGAACCGGACAAAATTATTTAAATTTATTCTCACCATATTAAAACAATTAAATTTTCTTACCAAATTTTTGTTGTTGTTGGAATAGATGCTTTATTAAAAAATAATAAGCATAAAGTACAAAGATAGCACTGAAATAGCCAATACGATACCCAAGTATGAGAGACAGGAACAAATTCGTGATCCTTAAAAAAATTACTTATTTCACACTCACTTTACTCTCTAATTTTGTTTTTAAAAAAATAATCAAATGTACTCTAATATCTAATTTCGAATCGTTTATAACAATAATTGTTTTCGATTCTTGTCATTAATCAAATAAATACTTTAGAGAGATATAAAAAGATATGAAAGTAACATGAGGCTAAAGATAGAGAAAATGAGTAGTACAACAACATTAGGTTTTTTTTTCCCCTACGGATCCCTCGTGTGTCGTCTCATAGTTGTTGTCTCTCTATTTCCTCTCATAATCAACCAGAAGTTTTGAAAATCCTCTCTCATGATTAACAAATTATAATCACATTGGATATCATAAAGACCTTGGTTTATGTGGATAAAACAATGTTTGGACATTATTGACTTGGACAATACAAAAAGTACACGTTGTAAACTTTTCCCCAAGTACGACTATGAGAGGGAAGATCATCCATAAGTGTCGATAAGGTATTATTATTATTATTATTATTAATATTGGACAATAAATAAGTGGGACAGCGATGGAAAAGAACCCATAAATGATTTAAGCTATAACAACCCTGCTAATCATGGATTTGTGTACTAATGGAAAGATGCATAAATTATGTCGTTTTAATTGGTAGGTGATGGAGATAACTTAGAAGGCTTCACTGTAATCATAACTATTTCTTTTTTCTTTTTCTTTTTTTTAAATTAAATGTATTGCTTTCAACATATCTTTCATAACAGCAAATTTTTGTAAATATTTTAAGCCAAAACTTGTTTGTCCTAGCAGCAACCCATCCAAAACAAAGTTTAATATTTATGAAGAAAAAACAATATGCAAATTAAAACCGTCGAGGGGGAGGTAATGCAATTTTGTCTCCCGTAGTCGTTAAATAAAACAATAAGAAACTAGTAAATTAATACAAGTAAATGCATTGTTTATATTTTGTGGAATATATTTTTGTCATTGATCTTCTTACCTCATAACACTCGAAGGAACAACACCTTGAGCTAGTAAACTTAGGGCTCGTTTGGGAATGCTTCTCTAGGAAGTACTTCTGCTCATAAGCGCTTCTAACAAAAGCGATTTTATTATAAAAATCTTGAATTTTCATAAAAAATTAAAGTGCTTCGTGGAAAAGCACTTGGGAGTGCTTCCTGAAGAAGCACATAGCAGATGCTTCTCCAAGAAGCACTTCTATGACCCAAAAACGCTTCTAAACTTTTCTGCCAAACGCTGTCAGAAGCGCTTTTGGTCCTTTCAGAAGTACTCCCAAACAGGCCCTTAAAATAATAATAAGTGTGCGTGTCGTGTGTGTGTTTTTTTTATTGGGGATTATTTTGGTAATTTGGCAATGACATAAAATACATTCAACTTCCCCACAAACATAAGGAGATGCAGACATATCATTTGGTAGTATCCAGCTGTATTTTGGGGTATTCTATTAGGAATTTAAGTAGTTGTGTTTTGTACTATACTAGTATGGCAACGGGTCGGGTAGGGTTCGGGTATGACAATAATATCCCCGTTTCCGCTCTCCATTCCTGCCCCGTCCTCGAACTCATCCCCTTTTAATAGGTTTCGGCGAATCATCGAAATAATTAAACACAAACCCTAACTAATGTACACCAACATCACATTAAAATATTATGCATGTACATATTTAGAGTGCAATATCGGTTGTTTATAAAATATATATTTTGTTCTCGAAGTTGCTGATATCAATTAAGTTAGTTGATTAAAACAGTATTATTACACTGTAGAATATCACTCGACATTTGTCAAAAATAAATATATTATAAAGTTTAAATCAGTAATAATTATGTATTATGTTTTCCTCATTTGAACCGTCAACTCTAATACCACTAATTGGAATAACTTATACGTGCAATTGTAAGTAGATATTCATTAATCATAATGGATCATGATTATTCTTCAATATAATGGATCATGATTATTATTAATTAAATTGGGATCCATCTCGGTTCGTAGCCATAAGCTTGGAAGGAGGAGAAGGGAGGGGCATAAGGGCCCAATAGCTAAATAGGCCTCGTTTCCATTATCCTTGAATTTGATTTACTGAAAATAAAATAATATGAACTTTTTGGCCTTTGAAAAAAACAAACACATTAAAAATAATATTTTAAGGCATAAATCAATAGATTTGGTAACCTATTCCCGATGCTACCAAAACCCAGTTCAACCAAAAAATCCTCACTTTCCCTTTCAAGCACACGTGAGCTTGACGTTCATCATGCTCTGTCGTTGACATTTACCTTCGTGTTACTGTTTTACTTTAGATATATTTCTACCAACCATTCTAACCTCTCCCAAACGCTGCGTTTTACCTTTAAAGATGCTTCTGGAAGCCCGCGTCACGGCACGGCGCCGTTTGGCGCCACTATTGTTCTACAATGTCGTAAAAGGGAAACCCTGAAACGCACGACCGCTACTACCACTATCAGTACCAGTGCAACTTTTCCGATAGGCGCGATCTCATGTTGGCGGCTCTACGATCCCGTTCACTCTCTCTCTACTCTTCACCTTCTTCATCTATCCTTCAACAATGGAAGCTAGGGTTTCCTGCTCTGGAGCGCGCTTTCTCCTCATCCGCCAACGGAGGCCTTCTTGATCTCCAAGAGGTCGAGAAGGTTCTCAGCGACGTCAAGGCGGACGACGTGAAGGTCATTCCAGCAAACGACCTCTGTGAATGGGCCGATTTCATGGTTCTCGCCACCGGAAAGTCCGCGTGGCACGTCAAGAACATTGCTCAAGCCCTAATTTACAAGGCAGGTCCCATTTCTTTTGTTTTCAATAGCTTCGAGTTTGTGTTTGGTTTCCGAGAATCGGAGGGAAACGGAAGAGAGTAAAAGTTGAGGTCTTGTATTGAATGCCGATTGACTGGTCATCTGTTTGGTTGCTTAGAAAATTTTATTTTTGTTCCTTCTTATAATCAGTAGATTTTCCGGGAAAGGGGAATGTGCACTTTTTTGTTCTTTCAATTTTTTTTCCTTGATTATTAAAAAACAATGCTTCTTGGTGATTAACTAGTCTACCATTGTCTTGGTTATGGATGATGAGCTTGATCACCATCTGATAATGATTATATTTGTTTACAGTCTAAGCAAAAGCAGAAAGGAGCTCAGCGGCTGGTGCTTCCCAGTGTGGAAGGGCAAGAGGGAGGAAAGTGGATTGTCATTGACTCTGGTAATACAATGCCTTATTGATATTGGCTAGTATTATTGTTTTTAATTTTCTTTTTGGATTTTTATAGTGGTTTTCTTCATTTATTTAGGCAAAGTTATAGTTCATGCTCTTGATGAGAAGGCTAGAGCGTACTACAATTTGGAGGATCTTTGGTCCAAGAAGAAGCCTGAAGAAGATACAATTCAGGTAAATTGCAATACATGCTTTGCATCATAGACTACTTCTCTATGCACCCCATCCAATTGGCACTACTAGAATATTATCAATGATGTTTATGGGAGATCAGATCACAAAAGCACTTTATCGCTACATGTATAAGCCCCTTTCACAGTCATATTGTGAAGCAGCTATTGACGTTCTTGTCATCAATTTATATTTGTTCTATGATTCCCTCTAGCACGAGATCTGTTACTGAAATCCAATTTGGTTGAAGTCTTGTGAAAGCAGGCCACATTTAGTTCCTCATGTCAATTCACATGCAAAAATTAGCATAGGGATCTAACTAATATGCTAGTCATTTGTACAATTCAGTTGTATCACATGGACGGAGACGAGGTTTTGGTTCACTGAAGTTTGTGTCATGGGTTTGCTACTAGTTTTCCTGGTAATTTAGGTTTTCAACTTTTCAGAAATTCTTGGATCATTATAGTTATTAGCATCCTCAAATCAGTTGACATAAATAGATTTTCCTCTACAAAAGTAAAAGCAAAGTAGTTTTTAGGTCCTCTAGCATTGGAAAGATGGAATTAAAGTTCTGAGATCGCTGGCTGAAGTCAGTACGCTTCCTCTCTTTTTCACAGTGGAGAAGCTTGTGTATTATTATTTTTCTTTTCTGCATGATTATATCATAACTGAATTGGAAATTTTCTTTACATCGATAATATTTTGCGTTTATTGAATTACCTCTGGTTTTGGTGAGACATCAATGCTTTATAAGTGTTTTGATGCTGATGCTATGTCATTGCAACTTAGGGGGTAGCCTATCTCCTTGCTCTCATGTAGATGCAAAGTCCTTGCTCGCAAACACTCTCTAACTTTCTTTTTTTTATCTGTTTAGGATTTGGAGAAGGCTTTTGTGAAGATTCGTCCCAAGAACAACTCCAAGAGGAAACCGAAACCAGCACTGAAAAGGGCATAGTATCAGTTTTCAGATACACGAGATGCTTCCATCCAACCTTTGCCATTTTAGCATCATGAAGCTCATCGTGAAGCTCCATGATCGTTCTAAATGTACATTGTGGATTTGTTATCTAATTCAATTTTTTTTCTTTCCATTTTGCCAATTAGACTTGAAGACATAATCTGTGACTTTAATGTCAAAAAGAAAGGGAGTGAGAAGAATGAAGAATGTTAATCAGTAATGGTGGTATTTTAGGGACAATGGGGCTGGTAAAGATTATTATTAATTTTAATCTGGTGGAGAGTGGAAATATAAAAGGAGAACGGGGGGAAATAAGACGGGGTTGGAAACAACACTCTTGTTAATCCATTCCCATCCAAAATAGATGTATTTAAATCTTGAATTGGGTTCCAATCTAGTAAGGTTATGCTATGTTTGGTAATCAAGAATGAATATAGATAAAAGATAAAAGATAATCTCATTACTTCAACCTTCGTACGTACTTTCAAATCAGGGACCCGAGACACAGACACTAGTCCCAATAAAGGTTATTTATGTAATCATGCAATTCAGTCTAAAATCCTAATCACCAACCATAACTTGAACTGTAAACGAAAATCAATTGGTAGTACTAATCAAGGGCATCACCTGGTGTTGGGCTAATTCAGGGACATTGGATTGGACCAAATTCGGTCCACGGTCGAATAATGACCCAGGCGGCTCGTTTTAGCGCGAAAGCCCAAACCACAAACAATTGGCAGCGCAAATTTTCATAGAACTGGGTCGGGTTACCGTTGAGCTGACTTACCTAATTTTCCTGCCCATCAACTTCAAAATCTCAAAAACGTCCTCACAATATTCTCAATATCACCATCCTGCCCCTACTCTCGACAACACTGTCATTAACGGCTGCACCTGCATGGTAATTAAAAGCAAATGCAGCCCCCTTGTAGAAACAGCTCACAAAGTCCCAAAGACCCACTCTCGACACTTCGTTTCCATCGCCATTTCAACAGTCTCCGGAGTTTCCAAGGCCGCAGCACAGAAAACACCCACACACAGCAAAAGCATTTTAATTTCTTTGTTTGTTTCGTTTCCGTTGTATAAAAGTCAAGCGACTTTCTTCCCATTTCTGGCTTCATTTTCTCCCTTCGCATTTATCAACTCTCTTGGCTAGCCCACTGTCCCGAGCTCCCATGGCTTCCATCGCCGCGTCAAACGTCGTCGCTTTTAAATCCGCCGATAAATTCGGAGCTCCTGGCGATGCCAGAGCCTGCCATTTCAAGCAATGGGCCCCAGTTGGTAGCACAATCGGATCGGGTCGGAGCATTGGCCTCAAGTACAGATCCAAGAGCAGCTCCGGTACTTCAATTTGAATTAGTGATCGAAACGATTCGTTTCGTCTTGAGATACTTTTGGATTTGAATGTAGTAGATTAGCCTGATTGGTTATGTTATACAATGCAAGTGAATTGAATTGAATTGAATTGAATTGAGAGGTGTGGTGTGATTTGATGGTGATCATGGTGTCACATGCAGGTCACGTGAGGGCTCAGGTGGCCACGCTTGAACAAGCAAGCACAGGAGCAGCACCAAAAGTGGAGGGTCCTGTGGTGGTAGTGACCGGAGCTTCTAGGGGCATTGGCAAAGCCATTGCTCTGTCTTTGGGCAAAGCTGGTTGCAAGGTCAGTCAGTCAGTCCTAGACTCCCCACAGTCAGTAGTGCAAAATTCTTCGTTTCTGGTTTTGTTGATAATGGATGAATTGATGTTGTTGCATGCAGGTCCTTGTTAATTACGCAAGGTCGTCAAAGGAGGCAGAGGAGGTTTCCAAAGAGGTACAATCAAATCATCTATGCAAATCATATTAATGTGCCTCACTGACTTGTCATTCAGACTGAGTTCGTATATCATGTTTGTTGGTTTATGTATTAGTGATAGAGATAGTTTGTATGTGCATTTGATTATGTTTTTTCTTGCAGATTGAGGCATTCGGTGGACAAGCTCTTACTTTTGGAGGAGATGTTTCGAAGGAAGAAGATGTTGAAGCCATGCTCAAAACTGTGAGCAAATGGTCCCTTCTCATAAAAAAAATTGGGTTGATTTGACATCAGATCATGCTAGTTTAATATGCTTCATGATTTTACATTTGCAGGCGGTTGATGCTTGGGGAACTGTTGATGTATTAATAAATAATGCAGGTGGTTATTGCAAGTTTCACTTGCTCCCTTTTATTTTTCTTTGGATGTTATTTTCCAATTTCAAATTCGGTCCTCCTAACTTTCTACCATGGTTTCAGGAATTACTAGAGATGGTCTATTGATGAGAATGAAGAAACAACAATGGCAGGAGGTCATCGATCTAAATCTAACTGGTGTATTTCTATGTACCCAGGTGCGTGTTTATGAATTTTGAATTTTCATGGCAATGTTACTTGACTACTACGCAGAACTAAGAAATTTCACATTTTCAGGCAGCAGCTAAAATTATGATGAAGAAGAAGAAGGTAAATACCAATCCTTTCAAAAAGTTGTATTCCCACCCTTTAGTCTAATATCTAATATTAGTTGGATGATGCTTTTTTCAGGGAAGGATAATCAATATAGCATCGGTTGTTGGCCTAGTTGGAAATGTTGGACAAGCCAACTATAGTGCTGCAAAAGCAGGAGTAATTGGCCTGACAAAGACTGTTGCTAAGGAGTATTCAAGCAGACACATCAATGTGAGTGTCCTAAAATTTGATTTTTGTGCTAGTGATCAGGCTCGTCCCAGAAGGTATTGATAGTAGTTGATGGAGTCATAAACAATGGATTTCCTTCAGGTTAATGCTGTTGCCCCGGGATTTATTGCATCGGACATGACTGCCAAGCTAGGGGATGACATTGAGAAGAAAATTTTAGAGACCATCCCCTTAGGTGAGCCTGGGGGAAGTTCTACTCTTTCAAATCAAATAGCTTCCCAAGTATATTTGATAATAATTTGCTAAAATGATTTCATACTGGCTGTGATTACAGGAAGATATGGCCAACCTGAAGAAGTTGCTGGACTGGTGGAATTCTTGGCCCTTAGTCCTGCAGCCAGTTACATGACTGGACAGGTTTCATTTTCCCAACTAATTTAATGTTCTAGTTTGTTTTTGAATTAATTGTTGAGCTTTGTGTACTTGTCTTATAGTTACCTAAAGTGTGAATTGTTATGGTCAGTGAAATAGGAATAGAAATGCAGTATATGCACCTACCCTGAACATGAATCGTGGGTTTGACGTGGACTCAAATTCAACTTTCATCCACTGCTTAACTTTAAAGTTTGATTGTGACGAAGTTAAAATGTTTTTATAGTTTAGCCTCTTTTTTTTTTTTCTTCTTTTTTTCTAACATCATAATCTAAAAAGTATTTTCTTATCAACATATCATGTTTCGTAAAAAATGATAATTGCAAGAAATACATAATGTACATTTTTGGATCACCGAAACTAGCATATTCAAATGAAAGTGTATTATGTTTTGGATGAGTGACCTCACATAAGCAGTGTGTTTTGTGGTAACTATGCTTTGTATCAAGGAGCTTTATTTTTTGTTTATGGCAGTTCATGGGTAACCCCAAACTATTATGTTAGAAACCTTTCATTGCAATTTATTTATCAAGGCTTGTTATAATGAGTTGGTGTCAATGTCATTACCTTGGTCTTCCCGGTCTTTCATCGTATATCATTTGAGACAACCTGCTTTTCCATTTTTTCATCAGTGACCATAACTCACCTTTTTTTGCAGGTGCTCACCATTGATGGAGGCATGGTGATGTAGGTCTACTATACTGCTGACCCCAAGATGTGGATTAGAACGGCTGAGCTTCAAGTTGAGTATGAAATGGAATCACCGGATTCTAATGGGATATGACAGACAGATTATGTGAATGCCCATCATCATGTTACAAGTAATTTGCTTTAAGTTAATTCAAAAATAAATTCTTCAGCAAGTTTTGATAGAATTTCAGTTTAGGTTGGAAGTGGCACTAGTAAAAAGAGCTCTGTAAAATGACCTGTTTGTGGAATGTGTTTGCTAAAATTGAAGTGCAGTTTTCAGTCGAGTTAAACTCCTGGCATGTTTGGTATGCCTCACTGTGCCTCACTGGACTGGGCTGTGCAAAATAACACTTGAAACCCATGTTTGGCAAGGGAGGGGATTAACTTAAATGAGACTCTATAGTCCAATAGTTTAAAAAAGAGGGGACTCGTGTGTCTAATATAGAGAGCCCAATATTGGGTTCACAAAATAGCGAGCGTCTTATTTTGAACAAGCGAGTCCGATGGATTTCCTTATGCCGCGCTCCCCCCCTCCCCCCCAATTTCTTCTTTGGGTGAAGAACCCCACAGCACCTCTGCAACAACCGTAGCTGCCTCTGCATCAGAGAGAGGGCTCTCTCACTCTCTTCAGTATTTCCAATTTAAAAGCTCTTTTCTCACTCTGCACCAATCCTTCCCCAACTTCCACTTGCACTGCAAAACTTGCCACACACCTTGAAAATGGAAATTTCTCCACACTTTCCTCCATTTTTGGCTCTCTCTCCTCCGCACAAACACTTTCTCTCTGCCCAAAAACGCAATTTCAAGAATGCAATTCATGGCTGCCACTTTAGTTGACAAGTCTTCAGAGCCCAGGAGGTTGATAATTCTTGGGATTTCTCCATTGATGTCATCAACCAGAGGGGTTCTGATGATTTTGACTAGTCCAGTGAGGACTTGAATCGAACAAGATGAACCCATTTGAATTAAAGCTCTAACAATCGGACCCATCAGCACCAATCCCACAAAAACATCCTTATTGAATTTAACCAGACCAAGAACAGAAAGAGCAGCTTGGTTTCGAACCCAATTCGAAAACTTTGAGTCACAAACCATAAATTCAAGAAAAGAAAATACCTTTGCTCTCAAAATTAACTGCTGATATTGAACCTTTGGCCCAACCTGTTCTCTAAACCCTATAAATGCCTATAAAAAAAAAGAATAAAAAAAGAAAGCCCAAAATGCTACACTATATTTACAATTTACAATTTTTTTTATAAAAGTTATATATATTTTTATATATATTTATTATTTATTTTTAGGTTAAATTTTCTAATTAAAATTAAATATTAAAATAATTATTTTTTAGGGAGTTTCACTAAAACACCCAAAATGGGGGCTGAAATTATAAAAATACCCAACACCCAAAACACTTTATAAACATACCCCAAACTCATCATTACACACACTCAAAACCCATTTATAAACATACCCAAAACCCATCATTACACACATACCCAAAACCCATTTTGGGTATGTTTCTATGTTTAAATAGTGCTTGGGTATTTTTATAAATACATGTCTAGGATTGGGTATTTTTATAAGTATCTATATTTTTTAATCCGACACAGCACCAAACATAAGTCTTCACTATTTTTACAATCCAGCTTCTTAATCCGATACAGCACCAAACATAGGTCAGTACTTAATCCAGATTAGTCCAATCCGAGCTAATCCAAGACAGTCCCAGAATTTAGTCCAGTTCATGACAGTCCGCCGTACCAAACGACCCCCTAATGGGTTAACCATCCATTGGTTTGTAGTTTGTGGGTTCCATTGGAACTCAGTACATGATGGATGGTTGAGAATTTACGCTTTATGAATTATAGAGATTATGTTCCCTTTTGCTTTTTCCGGTGTGGTATTGGGCCCTAAAAGCTCGTTTGCTAGCTACCATGTCATGCACGCCAGTCTCTAGAGAGTGTGGTTTCAATTTGAATTCACTAGAAGAATTACAACAAAATGTAGTAAATTTTGGAGTTGAAGATTGGTACCCTTTTAATAATGGCTGAACCGTCAATGGGTCAAGTCCAGTGGAAAAGGGCCTTGCAGACTAATGGTCTCAGATTCTAACTCTCATGGCACATTGGTAGTATGTGTATAAGAAACTCTCATTCTCCTTATAGTTTAGACCGTTGTTTTAAAAAAAAAATGGTTGAACCAATAATTCCATGGAAATACTCAATATAGATGTAATGTATTTTTTTTTGTTCCAAGTATACTTGGTCAAAGTGTTGTCATTGTTTTGGGGGCTCGTAAAATTTTACCCTGATATATCTCCTTCCGTGGAGCTCAATATGAACTAGTTGAGTCATTTGGACTGTCATGTATGGGTTAGAGCATCCACAGTGGGGGGGTGTATAATGGGGTGTATGTTAAATATACATCCATTGTGATCGGAATCACCCCCAATGTGGGGGTGTATATGAATGTATAATTACATCACCACCTTGGAGATGTATATTTAGATGCAATTGTACATCTTTTTTTACATCTCTTGCAGGTGGGACCCAGCTGCAAAAAGGTGAGGGAAAATGGAGAAAAGTGGCTTTACACCCCCGAAAATACACCCACTCATTGGAGCAAAAAGCGTATTTACACCCCCCGGAGGTGTAAAGGGGATGTAAAAGTGGCTTTACACCCCCGAAAATACACCCCCCCACTGTGGATGCTCTTAGGATAGGACTGAATATGTACAATTCTTGCACCTATATTTTGGCTGTCCTTGGTTGTCGTTGGATTTTATTCTTAGTCGTTATAATTGTGGGCTCTCCTTTCTTTTTCCTCGCTCAAACATCATAATCCACAAAAGTTCTTTAGTTTGTCATGTTTTTCTTCTAAAAGGACAGGAGATGAATGAAGGACATTTTTGGATCACAAAAACTAGCCTAGTTGCATATTCTAGTGCAAGAATTCCACAGTGAGGGCCTTAGGCCTTTAGATGAGGCCCTATCTCTTAACCGTTGGATCAAATTGGTCAATTTGATCCAATAGTTAAGAGATAAGACCTCATCTAAGGGTTTTATCACTATAGAATGAGTCGATTATGGCGAATATGTTCCCTCTAATTTTTCCTGCATGGGATTGGGATTGGGCCCTAAAGCCTTGTGTAGCCATTTGGATAAGCGAAAAAAGAAAAATAAAGGCCAGAATATTTGGTCAAGTCATTGGTTAATTCCACAAAATAGATGCAAGTTCTTCCTTGCAAGCATAAAATTATTAGGTGCAGTGCAGGAGGGTTCCAAATTTCATATCCGAATATCCCACCCACCACACGATTCCACCACGAAACACGGACATGTTTATCTTCTCAAGTCAAGCAAAGGCAGCAAAGCCTTACAAGCAACGAAATATAAATACCCTCTTAGCCTTCGTTTATTCACTTTCAAATTGAACAGTCTCCCTTCCCTCGTTTTGATCATTGGCATGTGTTTGTAATTTGTTTGTGCATGTTGGCCCTTTTTGGTCATCATCGCATCAAGAATAATAGTCTTACGTTATGAGACTACATAGTATAATCAGGACTAGGACTTTAATTTCTTTTTCTTTGACAATACGTCCTCTTAAATTACTCTAAGGTCCCGTTTGGTTCATGGGAAAGGAGATTTGGGAATGGGAATTCAATTGATTTCCCATATTTGGTAAGTCCAGGCATTGGAAATGGTTTTCTAGCACATGGGAAAGTAGGGGGGAAAGTGAAACTCTCCTCTTAACTTGGGTTTTGTTTTCCCTCCTCATGGGAAAGTTTGGGAAAATGAGCCAACATTCAATGCACAATTTTCATGGCTATTTTGTCCCTATGAACAATTTATAATTACAACGTATCATTAAATGCATTCTTTTTTTATTTGATTTAATATGGGTATAATTGGAAAATTATACAAACTTTGTTTTCCATTCCTACTCAAAACAAACATGGGAAAGGAAACAAAGTGAAATCTCTCAGTTACTTTCCCAACATTACCAAACGTGGGAAATGAATCTTTCATTCCCATTCCTTGGGAAATGACATGGGAATTCCCCTCAAATCCATTCCGTGAACCAAACAGGGCCTAATATACGTATAGATGGGAACTCTATACACTAGCCTTTTTTTTTAGACCGATATTTTAAACTACTCTCATGTACCGGGAATGTGATCTCAAGTATAATACTTCATTTACCAACTTTTTGGTAAACCAATATTCGAAACGACTCTAATATACAAATACAAGATTTCATTTATTAATACCGTAGTACCGATCCACACGAGATTTTCAATCTACTTTTCCCCTAAGCCTCACTTTAAGGCTCTCACACTCAGCTTCAAAAAGCAGGCAACCTTCCTTCCTTCTATCTCCTCAGTTCAGAATCTCTGTGTGTATGTAGTTTCACCATACTCTTTTGGGGCCCAATAATTTCAAAGTTTGAACCTTGATTTCTGCATACAACTCTCTCTCTCTCTCTCTCTCTCTCTCTCTCTCTGTGCAGCTGGGTTTAATTTTTCATGGAGAATTCAATTCTTGGCATCCCAACACTTCCAGCCTTCTTCTCCATATTTCTGCTCGTCTATCTCTTTGCTTATTTTGTGGTTTTCCGCAACTGGGGTCCAAAACACAGACCAGAAGCTTCAAGCTGCCTAATCTCTCTAGCTCATGGCCCCACAGCAGCCATTATGTCCATCTACTCAGTCCTCCACAGCCACAAAGCCCCCACCTTTGCCTCCCCCAACGACACTTTCCAAAACACCATACTTGAATTCAGCATAGCTTACTTCTTCCTTGACCTCCTTCACTATTTACTCTTCTTCCCCAGTGATGTCCTGTTCATCCTCCACCATTTAGCCACACTATACGTGTTTACGACTTGTCGTTTCGTGGTTCATCATGGGGCCTACGCTATCCTCGTGCTTCTCTTTCTTGCTGAGATTACAAGTGGCTGCCAGAACGTTTGGACCCTTGCAAGTTATCGCAGGGCTGATTCACCTGCTGCTGCCAAATTGTACGACTTCTTGTCTCCTCGGTTTTATGTTTTTTACAGTGTTTTCAGAGGGTTTCTTGGACCGCTGTTCATGTTCAAGTTGGGGTTGTTTTATGCAAGCGGGGCAGCTGACTCCAAAATTCCCAGATGGGCATGGGTTTCTTGGATGGTTGTGATTTTAATTGCCATCGGCCTTAGCATATTGTGGGTTTTGAATCTTTGGATCCATTGGTACAGAAACAAAGTGCAGAAGAAAGAGAGGTAGAACAAGTGTGATGCCTCTTCTTTTCTTTTTTAACCTTTTTTTTTTTTTTGTTAAATTATAAATGGGGTTGTATAATGTTCATATTTCCAAGATAAGATTCATGTATGTCTTTGTATTATCACTCATGTAACCATTAGATAGGCTGGTGTCTTCTTCACTTAATGGTGTTTTCATTTATGGGGAAGGTTCCAAACTTCCCATTGAGGGGTCTCACATCAACTCATTGGTTTCCAAAAATGAGTTTGATTCTTTTCTGGGGGCCTATCACAGTGAGTCTGATTGACATTTGCACCAAATGCACCGTAAATCATCACTATCTTTCATTATAGAGAATATAAATGATGACCATGTATTGACATCGAATTGAACCTAATACACAAAGAAATCTATCTCCCTTTTACACGAATGAGATGGTAATCCACTTACTACGGCAGCCTCTGGAGCTTTCGAAACTTATTGTTCATTGAATACAATAAATTTTAACTCAGCATCATTTTGATCCCAAACTTCTATGCTATAGGCCGCTTACCGGATCGTTCTTGAAGTATACACAGCAAATTAAAGAAATCCGATGTTGTTTATATGCCTATGATCGAAGCATTGCTTGTGTCAGGATTACCATAGTAGTTAAGCTCGACGAAAGTACCTCCTCCTTCTCCCTTGGCCAGTCTTCCCGGATTGACACAAATGCATTTAACCTGCTCTTTCTCTTCACCTCTTTCACCAAGGGACAGTACCTGGACCCAAAGTCAAATTTCTGTTAACGTCTATTGGTAACATTGAACACCAACTTGGTTTTAATATGCCAAAGTCACAAAATTTAAAACCCATTCTTTATTGGGGTGACAGGCACCTTTCTTTATGATCTTATTAGAATTGCTTTAGCTTGAAGTTGGTATGACCATTTTTACCTTCACAAAATGCTTCATGTCAGAGGGTAAGATGAGAATATCTGGGATCAACGAGATGTTTAGAGCTTCAGGAGCAAGCGAAAAATCCAATGGAATGCCTTCTGCTGGTGGATATAGAGGATAAAAGCTGTCCCAAAAATTATAGAGTAAGTTTAGAATTTTAGATAGTAGAGCACCTCTGACCATATAGACGTATTAAGAAATTAGAGCGTGCCTGCGCTGGCTAATTATATGGTTTGCAAGTCTACTCATGCGATCACTGAGTTTTCCATCCTTTGGATTACGCGAGATCTCCTCTCCACTAAGGTGTTTGAGAATATCCACAGAGCAGCAACCTATCTTGACCTGAAACCAAAAAGTTGTGAACTGGTCAAGGATGGAGCTCAATTAAACACGCGGGGTTAAGTATAGATCATTTGTTTTCTAATCCACCATCTTTGTTGACCAAACCGAATGTGCCTTCTACATTGGAATCCAAAGCTTTTTATATTAATAAAATCTTGGCACTAACAAATTGATAATTCTAACATCAAAACTCATTTCGGAAAAGTTACAAAGGTAGTCATAATTTCAGGACAATAGCTGTTGGTTACCTGATTTGCCTCGAAAAGCCCTGGATTTGTGAGACTGGTTATCTGAGTAAGAACATGTAAAATCACTTCGTAAGCATAACGGTAGAAAATAAATTTATTTAGGAGTTGCTCACCAGTTTGAAAGATGAAAGCTCGAAATCTACGAACATGTACCTGATGCCTGAGATTAGCAGGATGAATATCAAAAGCAGGCTGCACAACCAAGAAAAACATATGATCTTAATTTATCATCTCAATGAAGTGTAAGGAAATTGAGCAGATATATCCTATATTTACTTGATTCAAAAGTAGCATTACCTGAGGGAAAACAAAGTCATGGTTAGCATCCCGTATAGATGGTACAAGAACAACGCGTGCATGTGAACCCATGTATTCGACATGGTCTTGCAACTGAAAGAAAGATAACATGGAAAAAGGCATGAAGACTGAATCGATCTATATAGTTCTTCAGAACGACAATTACACAACCCTTTAAGTAGATACCCTTCTAAGAATCTCGGCACGGAAAATTTCATCAAAGCTCCTGTCCACAGTTCCTTTCTTAATTTCTGGATGTTCGGAATCAATAAATGGTCCTAGCTGAGAAAAACAATATCAATACGTAAACAACATAAATGGTTCACGCAGTTAAATTTTTTAAAAGAAAATTTCAATTGAAGAAAAGTAGATACTTACCAATATAAGCAACTGAGGCAGCGTTTTGCTTGCATATGCTAGCAGCTCTCTTAGAGGCTCAAACAATAAGTTGTCTGTTGTGGTAAAAGGGCCTGATGCGATGATCTGTTGAAATACAAAACTATAGGTTACCAAAGGGGATCAGAGATTTGCATGGAATTGTGAAAAGTTCAATCATTCCACACATTGATTTCATATCAGCAATGAGCAAGTACTAGATATAACATCATATACATAAACCATGATTTTTTTCAATTTTTTGCTTGTGTCCAGAAATCTAGGAAAGTATGCTGCCTGCTTCAACTATCTCAGTTGGCCACCCAACTCCTCTGCCTCTTCAGTTAATGAACAATTTCTCTAGTAAGAAAGCTAATATTTTCAAGTATTTTTAAGTCGTTCTTATCCATCAAGCCTCCAGCTTAGTAATCTTTTAATTGTACAGCAGTGTGGCACCGGAGTCCTTAAAACATTTCTAATTATCTAGCCTCTATTAAAAATCATCACTAGACAGCCTACTCTTAGGTTCTCCACATTCACATTTAAATATTGCTTTCCAACTCAGGTCGAAGTCTTGTATGATAAATGAATTCTGTGGTGTATTGGACAGTACTACACCAATGTTGACTGACAAATAACATAAGCTTCGCATAAAATTATAAAAATATCTACAGTTTACTCGCACGAAGTAACACAGGCTACAAGCTTACACACCACTGATAGCTCTGTTTGTGTACTGGATACACCAACTGGCAAAATCTCCTGATCCAAAGCTTGCTTTTTTGCAGGAGGCAAGTTTGCATCATCAGCAATAGGCAAAGGGATTGAATCTACCAGTTTTGAAGCAATAAAGCAGTGTCCACTAGGATTGATCCCTTCGATACCTACTAGCTGCAGGAATGCAGTCCTTCCATGTCAGAATTTAGAATCGGAACACTATTTCAACATTTGGAACAGACCATGGTTCTATTTTTTCATGTTCCATACCTGGCCTGGAAAGATTGAAAACTGGCTCAAGTTTTGTAATTCTATACGAACACGCTGGCCTCCAGAATGTTCTGCGCTGTCAAAGATTGAAAGGAAAAAAAATGTTTATCTAAAGAATAACAATATATAACCAGCAGTTTTCAAGAGAGTGAACAACGATGCTTAGGCCTGTTTCAGCCCTGACAGAATAACTATGGAGCCCAACCTGGGCCCAAGTGTTGCCTAAAAGAAGGCTAAGATCCTGAGACAATATTGTCCAATAGCTAAACTTAGGTAAAAACCATTTTTCTGACCCTTCACAGATTGATATCATGTTTGAAGGTGTAGTCATAAATGTTCTCAGTCTACTGACATCTTTGAAAAAACAGGAAGAATTCTAGCCTGTAGGCCTGTTAGTAAACTGTTCACATGAAGAGTATATAGGAAAATCCAGGAATTTCTACCTGCTTTGCAACAAGGTGGACTTCTCATTCAAATGGCCCTCTCCATCACAATAGATCATGCCAACAGTAAATATGATTTTCTGAAACATAATAAGATTAGATCATAACCAGTCTCAGAGTGACTTTGAGGAGATTGAGTTGCTGAAAAATCTTCCTACCAGGGGAAGAGGGTGCAGGTACCATACCTGAGAAGAAACTGTAGGATCCAGCGGTTCCTCATACTGCCCAGATGAAACCAGTGCAGTTGCATACTTACTAATTCGGTTTTCAAGTGCATTAAACTAAATCACCAAAAGCTTAAGTTAGTGGAGAATATATATGGAAGTGAAGATCAACATACTTTCTTAAGTTTTCCTTACCCTATCTTCAATCCTATCATGCATAAACCTACAGCCTATTTCAGGACCTGAACCATGGACTATTAAAGAACACCTCTTTCCAGGCTTAACCTTCCTGATAATGTCATCATCCTCATGATTCTCATTATCATCTTCCTTTTCCCCGTTCTCTGTATTTGGCTTATTATTGATGCTAAACTTCACAACCAACTTGTCTGTTCGTCGCCCAAAAGGAGTTGCAAGTTTCGATGGTTTCCCAGAAGAAATGTTCCCAATTGTTTGCGGCGTTGAGTCAGATGGCTCTGAGTAGTGGTTCTGAGATTTGAATGGTGGTGGAGTGCCAAGAACGTCTTCCTTTATATCTTCATCTTCATCATTCAAAATCCTGCACATGGTTTCTCATCAAATACTGAATTTCTGAAACTAGTCATACCGATCCCATGACCACAACATTTATGCCACCACAAATGAACAATTGTTATATACAAAAAGGGATAAGGATTTTATGTTGAGGATTAGTTAAGGATTTCTAAACCTATCCATTGGATCGCATGTATGGAATATGTAACCCACTAACACATCTAATGGATGGCTGAGATTAGAAATCCTTAACCAATCCTTAACATAAAATCCTTACTGGATAAGCTCCCATACAAAAAAGCTCAAAATCATATTGTGCTTACATGTCCACATCTCTGCTTGAGTAGATATGCAGATCGAGTTCCTTTTCATCAATGGCAACTTTCTGCTGACTTTGCAAATACCCTAAAAACCCATCCATTTCGGCATCTTCTACCACAGTTCCATTTATTTGCCTGCCACAAAATGCTATTTCAAACCAGATAATAATTGGCAACAAAGGTCTATACACAAAACTAATCCCTTTCTTCTATGGCCATAAAAGAAAAATACACACAAGAAAATAAGCTAAAAATTAAAGTTAAGAACTATCCTCAAACACAAAATTGAATTATTTTAAATGTTTTAGTAAAAAACTCAAAAGGGTTTAAGTTTTCCGTTTTTTTCTGCTAGCAATATAAGGGTAAATGGATTCAAGAAAAAACAAAGGGGGAGAGTGATAAAAAAAACCTGTTGAGGTAGTAAATCTCCCAGCTTGAAACGAGATCCGCGGGCGTGAGTCTGAAATTTATGCAGAATGTGGCGCCTAATCGAAAATTGTGGCATTAATATACACTCATTTGTAAATAGCGATGAAGTTCAAATTGGGAACAGAAAGCGAAAGATCTTACATTTTTGAAGTATTTCCTTTTCTTTGTCGAAAGTGAAACCGCTGTTGTTGAACTCCGCTTTGACTTCGTCTTCCATGTGGCGCTCTGGTTCACTCTATCCCTCTAGGGTTTCAGAAGCTGCCACTTTTGAGAGTTGCAGGGAATTGGCGGGAAGAGTTGAGATTTTGGTGGGTAACCATTCTGCATTTCCTATACTGCCCTCTTTTTATTTGTGGATTCCAACGCTGCGTTACCGCAGGTGATCTGTAAACGACGTGTCGTTTCATTTTGGACTAACTGTTTTTGGGTTTCGGTTGGGGCCCAAGCCCAAAATATTAGGCCCAAACCATACAGAACTATTCCTTAATTTACTCTCCATTATATAAACATGACATCCAAGGCAAAAGTTGGATTCTTACCCTCTTAGGTTATAATTTGATTCATATTGATTTGGACACCCTCCATGTTCTTACTCAAATTTGTAAAAACTTGTACTCAATAAACTTTAATTTGTAGCTTAAGCGTTTAAATGCAGTTACTTTGCACTCGAGGTCTTGTATTCGAATATTTCTCGCCCTCAATATGGCTTGTATCATGAAAAGTAAAAAATAAAAACTTTACGTATTCCAATTTCTCCTCTTCTTTTGACAGATGAAGTGCAACCAAATAAATAGAGTTGATTGTGGCAACAACAATTATCAAGGGGAAAGAAAGAACCGATTTATTCCTCTCTGACATGCAACAACTTCTCCTACCATATTCAATATTATTTGCAGTTCAACTAATCTGATCCCTTTTCTTTTCTTGCGTAGTATTGTGTTTACACAGACTACTAATTCGTATTAAATAAATAATAAAAAAGTTAACAATACTACTGGACGTGTTTAGCCATAATTATTCTGCAACAGCTCAAGGAAGCCCTCATGAGTCATATCCTATCATGTTCCTTGGAGGTACAAAAGTCAAACTTCCAATGCCAACTGCTGTGATGATGGCCTCATCAACATGATCATCTACTTTTGAGCTTGAATATATTAAGATGAACTCTTGTTGCATATATAAACTAGTAGTTCATGAGAAGAATTTGTAGGTTTTTGCTTGCAGAATGATATTTCTTAGGGCTCCAATGGGTGCTACAATCATCAACGTAACACCAAGTGTAATGCATAGCTGAAATGTTTGAATGAACAAGAAAAAAGAAAGGTCAGCATTGTGAATGAGCCTAAAGATCATAGCTAGAGGAAATTAATCGAAGCAAAACCAGCGCAACGTACCCAGTTCATGCACCAAGATAGACTGAATCGTCTTGGTTTGTAGAGGGAAAGCCACATGATGCAGGGAAGCTGCAAATTTTAAAGAACCATTACAAAGTTAAGCTCTATTTGGATCTTTAGAATTAGATTGTATAAACAGCACACATGATGCAGAGCAATGAATCTTTTAATTTGCTTACGAAATATGTGGTTGGGGCGAAAGCAAATCCCCCAAAGAATCCCAGAAGGCCACTGAAGAAAGGGATGGCCATACCAACGACCATGGTAAATGCTGCAGATTAAGAACAAACTATGATCGGTACTGAATTATTGGCATGGAACTTGAAAAAGTTCACTTAAGTAATGGACTTACCGACGTATGTAGTGCGAGTAACAAATCGAAGGGCGAAAGAAGGCGTGAAGTTCATCTTCTTGACCAGAAAAGTTTCAACCATGTCAAACACTCCCATTGCAAACACTTGGTAGCTTCCAATGACATGGACCACAACAAACATGTTAGCAGCTGCAATTAGCCAAACGGGTTTCTCTAATGAGATGAGGATGTTGTCTTCGACTTTGTTTCCGTAAACCCAGTAGCCAACAAAAGAAACAGGGAAGTAGCACAAAGCAACCACAATGTATGCCACAATCACTCCTTTCCACATGGGACCCTTGGAAGGCTTCTCCGGCGTAGAGGGAATGGTTGCTTGGATCTCCAAAACCACATTGTGACCGGCGTAGGCAAATGCTATGTCTCCCAACCCGCTGAAGAAGTTAAAGACAGCTCCAGAATTGGTTTTAGCTTTGTAGCTGTAGTCCACGTTTGGTTCAACCCCCTTGTGTAAAGCAGCTCCCCATGCAATTGTTGAGTAACTGCATAGGATCCATCCTCAGACAATAAATTGTAAGTAAGAAATCAGATAATCGATTATACTAAAGTCACAAACAAAATTTCCAATTTTAGTCACCAAATGATCCTGTGCTGGTGTCTAAATATTTTGGGGATATGTTTTATAGTTGGTATCTCTAGCATTACCTCAAGGACAAAAGTTCCATGTATACAATTGTGGTGATGTTTCATTGACTTGAAGAAATGAATTACCTCAAGGACATGACTGCTGCAGCCAGTGAGATACCAGAGATGGAGTTGAAGTTGGGGAGATGGGAGAGAACAAAGTGGGAAGAAGCAAAAATCATAATCCAGTAGGATGTCCTGATTTTTTTGCAACTTGGACAAATCACATCATGGAACTTCTCCAGTGATTTTCCTCCTGTGACCATATACACTACGTTGACACCAACTTCCACAACTAGCTGTTGGGGTACCACAATCCACAGCCCCAGCTTCTCTCCAAAGGCATGCTGCCCCAGCTCATGGTACCTATCAAACCGCTTCCCGGGCACCATTTCATGCATCTCAACCATTTGCCAGAGTGTGTATAGGGTGATGATCCATGACAGAATCATAATAGCCACACCAGGACCCCTATAATTTTCCCAGAAAAGAAAACATAAAAAACAAAAACAAAACCATCCAAGTTCTGCCATGAAATGTAGCAAATTATAGGGATGAAAGTCATGAAATGAAGCAAACACATGCATATGTAAATAAATATATCATGTACATACCATCCAAGTTCTGACATGGCATAAGGAAGGCTGAGGACGCCAGCCCCAACCATGGCAGTGACATTGTGGAAAGCAGAGTACCACCATTTGGCATTCCTAGCAGAAGTGATGGGAAGCCAATCATCAATCTGCTTCTGCCTGGCTGTGGCATCTTCGACATCATTGGCTTGAACCATTTTTTACTTTTCTTTCCAGGCTTCAAGAAAACTAAACAGATTTGAAGAAGGGAAAAAGGAAATAGTGAAGAGCAAGCAATTGTCCTGTATACTCACCCAAAGCCATCATCTTTATATTTGTTGTTGGAGACATGAAAGAAAGCCAAAATTAGCAAAGTTGGCCAAGTTAGTAAGTTTCAGTTTCTCTTTTGTACTCTAGGATAGGAAAGCCATCCATTTAGCGGAGTTGAGCTGTAACACAGGTTAAATTACCACCAAGCCCCTATTATCTCACTCTTAAGATTAACAAACTTGCTTTACTTTTAACCTCCTGAGGTGTCATCTGTAAAATTATGAGTGCTTAGAAGTTGTACGGCTTCAAAGATTCAGCTTGGTAAAAGTAAAACCGAGCATGGCGGGATTCTATGTCTTGAATCTTGATACATTAAGCCAACTCCAAGTAACAAACGTTAACGTCTCCAAAGACCAAGGGGAGACCTTAGACCCCATGACCAAGGTCCCATGGAGACTCTCATGTCCTTGTCTTTAAGACATGGCTCCCACCATTAGACTCTCATGACCAAGGCCGCTATTATCTCACTTCAAGGCTTCCCATATCCACTCGCTAGCTAATAAGTAGCATTTCTTTTTATGTTTATATTTTTTTATTTATTATGTTATCTTTTTGGATAGATCGAATCCTTAATCTATCGTAATCCTAACTATTTTTCTGTTACCATGTACATGTTATTGAGAGTCGGAAGTTAGGATATAACTTAGGTAGTTTTGTTAATCCGAAGTTAAATTTTATGCTCGCATGTCTACAAGTCATGTCGAGAGTGTGCGCATGATGAGGCCCACATTAACACTGCAATCTCCTACTTTTCAAAGTTCCTGTTTGTAACTTAGAAATTTGGATAACCGAATTGGAAAAATAGGAGAAGCGTCTGGTCCTGACTTGAGAATGTCATAATAGGTAAGAACAAAGTCAGCCCATCTCAAATGGCACATGAGTTGCTTGTTGTCCTTTTGGTCAAAAATTGCCTATACCAAGCTTTTTCGTGCATCAAATTCCTGATTGTGAGGATCAGGATACCAAGAATTTCTATAAAGAAGGCATGCATGCATTGTGGCCGGCGTATCAAGTATGAGAACATGTCCAAGCAAAATAAGAAATAAAATTAGTGGACAGCACAATTCAAGCCACACCTAACCACATCATTGTGTGTATGAACATCAATTTCAAGCCAATCTAAGTTTGAAGTCGATTATATACAATGGTAGTTGGTATATCAGATTGCATTTGTTAGCAGATATCAAAGGTTCAAAGGGGCATGAATGACAAAGAAACGCTTCACATTTCTAACCACAAGTTGGCATGAAAAGACTTATAAAAGATGAAAAGAATAACAAGAACAGCAGTGAGAACAGGAAAAGTGCAACCATGTAAGCATTTTATGGCCCTCTGTAGTTTTATGATGGGATATTCAAAGCCTAACGAACCTGAACACTTGGTTGTGCCAAAACTAAGTAGCTTTTTTATGTCAATTTATCAAGAAATATAAATTGGTCGTCTGGAAGTCACTTGTGAAGGGTAACCAGAGAAGATAGGGGAAACCATTTGATCACTATGCAGCATAAATTAAGCTTAGCTGACTCAACCATCTAACAACCAGTGTGCAAGGGCCAAAATTCATACAACACATGAGGTATTGAGGTTTACAAATATGCCAAACACACATCCCTTTCATAACATTTTTTTTAACATTATTCAGACGGCTTTTACACCTTGTATGCAACTATGCATATACTCCACAGATATTATAAAACATGTGATCTAAAGAGGGGAGAAAAGGATAAAGAAAGAAAGAAAGAAACCATATCTATAAAGAAAAGAACTTTTTGAGAACTCACCATAATTCTATTATATCTATAGGTCTAACGAAAAACACCAACTCGTTTGTACAGTCTGATCAAGCAACTAGAGAAGTGGAATGTTTGTAACTCTGATTTGGCCATGCGCAGCTAATTGATTCTTCCGTGTCCAGGCCTTGCGCGCCAACACACAAATATTGGTTTATTATCTTCTTGTTGAACTCACTCTGTTTGAAGTTCACTTGTTGTGCTTTCCCATTTGAGCAAGAGGGTCCTAGAATGTCAACACTCTTCTCTTTGGCAATGAAAGTAGGTGAAGACATAGATGACCTTGACAGAGGACTTGAAAATGAATGAGCTGGAAAAGCTAAATGAGGCTTTGCCTGAATTACACCATGTGTTAGACCAGCAGTAAATTTCATCTTAGTGTATGGGCTTGGAAGAAAACTCCTGGCAGAAAGCGTCCTTTTGTTGTTTGGAAGAGAGGAAGATTTCGAATACATCTGCCGAAGTGGGATTGGATTGTCGTCCAAATCTATACATGAACTAAATGACTCCAAAGAATCACCATCTCCTAAGTCTCTGCTAGATTCCTTTTTTTCTTTCCTCCTAGGCCATTGAAGGAGAAACTTAAGGCGCCTTGCCGCATAATTTACAGATCCTGACTTCTTATTGTTTACTGAGTTGACTGAGCCAAACTGATTTAGCTCGCCTGAGAATTGCACACTTGACTGTTCGCAACTGGCATCAGAAGCATTGTCAATGCCTGCGTATAAGAATATCTCTGCATCAGGAATTCTGAAGGAGGTCCCAGGACTGTTCCCAATACCCTGCATTTTCAAATGGGAAACAAGGGCACTCCTGGCTTTATGATCTTGACACTTGGAGATCCCTCCGGCTGAAATCAATTGCTTGATCAGAAGTTCAGAAGATGCTGACTTTGGCCTTTGCTTGAGAATATCTAGTGGGGTCATGCCATCGGAATCGCGGATATTCAAATGAATTGATGGAACAGTCATGAGGAGTTCCACCAAATTACATTGAACGTTCTCAATTACAGCCATGTGAAGAGCGGTTCGTCCATCATTGTTTCTAACATTAATAATGTCCTGCGTGTTCACAATATTACCACATACTAATTGCTTAGTGAGCTCGATCTGTTTGTCCAGTCTCCGGAAACCAGGGCTTCGGAAACCAGCAACTGCCAAATGTAGAAAGGTATCACCATAGTTGTTTGATAAAGAAGTTAACAAGGGAGATGCACGAATTAGGACCTCCACCACAGCTAAGTGACCCCTATAAGCGGCCACATGTAAAGCTGTGTTCCCTTGATTATCTACAATGGTGATGATATCAAAGAATGCTATTAGATACTCAACCACCTGCATAAAGAATGATCAAACTTAACATTATAAGTAGTAGTTCAATGTTCAAAAGGATAATTTGAAAATTACGGTTTTTAACAATTATCTGCTTGATCATCAACTGAAGAATGATATATCTCAGGTTCAAATTTAACCAAGCAAGAAAACGAGTATTTCAGTCAAGTTGCAGTGCCTGTGAGGCCATTAAATTTAGTGAGCAGCCATCAACATCATAAAGCCAACTATTTACGAGTGGACGTTAAGGCCAAGCAAACAACTAACCACATAACTGTTTATCTAGAATTTAAGTCAATCAGTGCTCACTCCCTTTTACATGCGCTTTCAAATGAAAAGAGCAACCAAAATATGTCAGTACTATGACTCAAAACAAATAGGCACTTTACATAAATTCAAGTAATAAAAAATAAGTGAGCAAGAAATCTTCCATCTTCTATGAAGCTTTCTTAATTAAGCCCCCCACAATTCATGAATGACTGAGTATCAGATCTGCAATACCTTCAATTGCATCAATATTCTAAGAAACGATAAGAGAGTAACTGAAATCTAAGCAATGAAAAGATTGTTCTGAAGCAACTAGGATGTTTGAAAAGCTGTATACATGAAGCATCTAACAAGCATATAACACAAGAGCCTCACCTCAACCTGCCCTCTGCCAGAGGCTGTATGCAAAATAGTAGATCCCTGAGCATCCCTGTAAGCAAAAACATCTTCACAATCCCCAAGGAGATCCCTCAATATCTCCAAATTCCCTCCTCTAGCAGCAGCATGAACCGCACGGTTCATCATTTCCCACTTGAAATTTGAAGTAATATCACCCAACCGCTCTTCCACTTCTCCATTGCTAAGACTAAACCTTGGGGAGACTGAGAAATCAAACAGCAGCCTAAAAACCTCAGAGTTCTTGCTCCTGGCTGCAGCATAAAAGATGTCAGTGACACCGTACTCTCCTTCACCAAAAACAAGAAGAGGATCTCTTTCTAGCAACTCTTTGACAAAACCCAAATCCCCAGCTGAGGCAGCAGTGTACAGAAGCCAGCCACCATAGCCAGCCCTGATCAGAGAGTTGTGACCCCTCTGTGCTTGGCACTCATGGAGGAGTCTCTTGGCAACTTGAGAGCGGCATTTCGCAACATCATCAAATTGAGCCTCGTCATCCCAGACAGTTTCAAGGCGCCGAATTCGGCGAAGAGAGGTCAGCTTGATGAGGAGGTTGGTGTCAAGGTGAAGAAGCTCACTGACTAAATCATATAGGCCATTGGCTGCTGCCCAATCAATAGGTGATGCATACCACCATTGGTCTCCAGTGCTCTCCCACCTAAGAGGGAAGTATGAGGGCGGCATTGTAACCCTGAAATTGACTAAAAACACCAACTTTTACAAGAACTCAGTCAAGCACAAAGCTTTCAAATTATACCATCAAGCAAAATAACAACAACAACAGATTTGATGCTAAGAAATGGGGATTGGAGGACTGCAAGGAGAAGAGTCATTATTTATATGCCCAGATGAAGCTATTATTATGCAGCTGATAAAGAGATAAACAGGGTATTCTTAGCCTTTTAGCCTTTTAGGAAGAGAATAAAAGGAACAGTAGAATGAGTGAATGTAAAGAGGAAGCAACATTTAGAAGATAACAAAAGGAAAATGGCCACTTGATTATCATATTTTTGGAGGGTATTTTATATGGTGGAGGGAAAGTTAAGAGACAAAGCATAGAAATGATAGAGATTCGTTTGGGCCCGTGAGAGCAAAGTAGATTTGATAGTGAAATGAGATAAAAGAGTTTTATAATCTTTCCATTGGAGACTGGTGGTGACGGACCAAACTAGGAGGTTCACAGATTTGATGAAATTTTAATGGGATTTTTTAGCCACTTCAAGATGAAAGCGAGGGACAAAAATCAAGGGACCGGCGATGGCGGTTGAGTTAGGATCTCACGTCCATTGATTTTTTCTAAAGTCTTTTTCTTTTTCTTTTTTAGGAATTGGTGAAATAGACTTGTGACAAAGAGACCCCCATTTAAAGGGAGAGAGAAAAAAGTTAATTTTGTGGGACTACATACATACTTATATTGTTATAGGGCATAATGGGTAACGGGGTCACCGACGGCGGCATGTGGTAGGCTTGACCTAATTATCTAGGTGCATAAATGGGAAGTTGGGTTGAAATTATTGGGATCCTCTTCTACGATGGAATCCGATTTTTGAAATTATAAATCAGTTAGTTAAGATAGTTTGTTTGCCTTTTTACGTTTCAGTTCGGATCTTCTTCCATTTAATGTGACATAAAATGATGGCGAAAATATTGTCTATCAACTCATAGGGTAAGTGTTCCTTATGGTTGAAGAAAAACACATAATATGGTCTCCGTTATGTAATTATGGGACAAGTTGTCACTAACAACTCAATTAATAAGTAATAGCAGACAGACAACGGTCAGCGAAATAAGTAAAGAGGCACATGTTGTCACTAACAACTCCATTAACACTTAATTAGGTAGAATGGTAGGGTACGACGTGGGCCATGGTGGTTGCACTTTTGATTGTGGGTGTTGTGCCTCGTAGGCGTAGTGAAGAGTGCAAGACAGTCGGTAGTACTGGTGGTAGAGAGAGAGAGAGAGAGAGAGAGAGAGAGAGAGAGAGAGAGAGAGAGAGATTTGCCACCATTTTCTTCTTGGTTTCAACAAACTTGATTGATTCATTCATTGGATCACGAGAACCGATCATTCTCTAATGAGAAATGAAGCTCCACATATAATCTATCTTTGTTTATCAAACAGGCCACAAGAATTCTATAGTGAGGGATTTATCTACGCCCCTATATCTAAACTGTTAGAATGACTCAGCCAGGCCGAGGCAGCTCTGCACCTGCCTGTTTCTTTTGTGGCCCATTGATTTAACAGCCACGGCAGCTAAATTGGTACAACATTACAAGAAGCTTGTAAATATCTTAATTTGGAATTATATAAAACTTGATGAATTTATATCACCGGTCTGAAAAATTAGGGCAACACATGCTTAAGCATTTGGCGGCCACATAAGTTCAACCAGTAGTTCATTCAGGTCACCTGTACCAGAGTGATTCTCGAATAAAATAACCAAAGAGAATGATGGCGGATATCATAGAAAGAAACAAGGAAGAAACGGAAGCAACTTGGAACACAGCCAAATGGCAACCCCATAGCGTTTGCTTATATTATCAAACTTGTAAAACTAAAGTACAATGTCATGTTTAATTTAAATTAGCAAAATGGGGGGGGTCTTCATGATAAACTGAAATGTCGAACATCAAAAATAGACAACCTGGACAGATTCAACTCACAGAGAGCACAAGATAAAGACTTCTTATTCAGAGCTCCAAACCATAACACCTAAAAACACCCTAGACTCAACCGAAAACATAGAAATCAAAGCCTTTGATCTCATCCATCCAGGATTTAGAGAGTGGATGCTACGTGCACGATCAAGTCAACCACACGAGAACTGCAAAGAAAACATTGGAAATAAGACGATGTCAGTACAGGGCGCAAGCATGCTTAAATATATAAGCAGCAAGTTAGCAAGAGGACGATGAAATTACCTGTAACCCCACTCGTTATCGTACCACGACACAAGCTTGACAAAGTTATCGTTCAATGCAATTCCAGCCTTGGCATCAAAAATGCTTGACCTACAAAAGCACCAGACATCAAATTAGCTAAATTCATGGTATGCATAAAGCACTGTAACAAAAATAAAATGCAACATGAGAGTCGGAACACTCATTTTACCTGCTGTCGCCAATGAAGTCAGTGGAGACAACATCATCTTCAGTGTAACCCAAGATGCCCTTAAGCTTGCCCTCAGACTCCTCCCTGATCATCACAGAATTAAAGATAAAATTAGAACAAAAACGCATGGTTACATTGAGGAATATAGCCAATAACAATACCAATTACAGAGCAAAACAAGAAATATATAACAAAGCTTACTTGATGGCAGCTTTGATCTGCTCATAGGTTGCCTTCTTCTCAATCCTGACAGTCAGGTCAACAACTGAAACATCAACAGTTGGCACACGGAAGGCCATACCGGTCAATTTTCCATTAAGTTGTGGCAGCACCTTTCCAACAGCCTTCACATGACACACAACACAAAAATACATTAATCAAGACAGCTAAAGAAACAAGAGCATTGTAAGCTACTTAAAAAAGAGAGCTTGTGATAGATATAAGGAAGTGTCATTCAATATGGCATCAATTACCTTGGCAGCGCCAGTGCTGCTAGGAATGATGTTGAAGGAAGCAGCACGTCCACCCCTCCAGTCCTTTGATGATGGGCCATCAACAGTTTTCTGGGTGGCTGAATCATGAAAAGGTAAAACCAACTTCGCTTAGTTTCAAAACATGTATTTCAAACTTTGTAGAGTCCGAAGCTAAATCTCACCAGTGATGGAGTGCACTGTAGTCATAAGACCCTCAACGATTCCAAATCTGTCATTGATAACCTATGGACAATTGAGAAGTAAAATTATGTACATTACAAACATTCACTGATATTGCAAATCGGTAAGCAGCAATAGAAATAAACAGACTCAAACCTTGGCAAGGGGAGCAAGGCAGTTGGTAGTGCAACTAGCATTAGAAAGAATGTCAATGTCTGGCTTGTATTCCTTCTCATTGACACCCACAACAAACATGGGAGCATCCTTACTTGGGGCAGAGATGATAACCTTCTTGGCACCACCCTGGACATGAAAACAAAACAATTCAATCCAACTAAACTAAAAAGTACATATTTGAAAATTACCCAAATGAATACCATAAGGTGTACCCTACGAGACACAATCATTAGATAAGCAACCACTGTAGCTCAATGAAACAATACAAGTGGACCCAAATTAAATAAAAGGTAATACATCCAATAGCCTATCATAGATATAAGATCAATACACAGATACACATTAAGAATTCCAAATGCCTATCATAGAAGTAAGATCAATTAACAAATACACATTACAAATTCCAAATACCTATATAGATTCAGATTCAATTAATAAGATGCAATCACTATATGGCCAATTCTGACAACCAACATAAACTTCACATGCTATTTTCTTGAATAAAATCATACTTCATTGACCAATGCAAGAGAAACACAAAACTAATGAAACGAAAGTTACCTTCAAGTGGAAAGCAGCTTTGTCCTTGTCGGTGAAAACTCCAGTGGACTCCACAATGAAATCAGCACCGGCCTCGCCCCATGGGATCTCCTCTGGGTTCCTGTACAAAAATCAAACAAAACACAACTTAGATATGAATCTCTTAGCCCATACTTCGAATCTCTTAGCCCACACTATACTAAACTGCCAAAGCAACATGATGGGTTCACATATAAGTTCAATAGATAAAAGAGTACCTGATCCCGAAAACAGTGACGGGCTTCTCGCCGAAGAGAAGGGTCTTGGAGTCCTTGACCTTGAGCTCATGGTGCTTCCATGGGCCGTGAACGGAGTCATACTTGAACATGTAGGTCTAAAAACAACCATAACCACACAAATCACTAATCGAGTCCAAACTTCAAAACCAAAAACACTAACATAAATCAAATTATACACATATCCACGGAAACATATACTGACCATGTAGTCGGTGGTGATGAAGGGATCGTTAACAGCAACGAGCTCAACATCGTCTCTCTGAAGAGCAACTCTAGCAACCAAACGACCGATTCTTCCGAACCCTAAACCATTTCAATATTTTCACTGAATCAATTTACAGATCATTTACCACAAAACAACCTCAAATCCGAGATGAATCAACCAAAAACCTAAACAGTGAACAGAAAAAAAGAAGGATCGGATCATTACCGTTGATTCCGATCTTGATCTTCTTGTCAGATCCTGATCCATATTAACAAGAACAAGGGGAAAAAAGAGTCAATAAAACGAAAACAAATCGAAAAAAAATGAAATGAAAATACAAGATCTATAGCAAAAATGGCGAAACCAATAATTGAGAGAAATACCCATGGCGATTGTATAGAGCGAAAAAAGACTGAGAATTAGATGGAGATAAGAGAGGCAGAGAAAAACTGAGTGAGGGTTTTGGATGGTAATGCGAGACAGAGAGTGATAAGTAGGAGTTTATATAGAGAGAGAGTCTACAATCGTAAAACCAATGGGTGGTTTTGATCACGTGCAGCGGTTTTTCTTGTTCAAAAAGAAAGTCAATCCGGAGCCGCTGATTACGTTTAGCGCTTTGTATTAGCCGCAGATTTACTATGAACCGCCAGTTCGCGGGTGGAGTCACGAGCGGATTTACCATAGGAAGATCACGCATTTAAGGGAGTGCGTGGAGAGCAAGGTGGTTCGAGGGCACGTGACGTGCATGAGTGTGATGGGGTCCGCACTTTTGCGTTCTGGAATATTCGGACCCAGATCCGGTGGGTGGTAGGTTTAGACGTGGTGAAATTGGTTTGGGCTTCTGAAAGAAAAGGCCAGCTAGAATAGGTTTGACGCTGGCCCAATAAAGGCCTTGGCGTGTGAGCTTTTGCTCCTGGGATGGGATTACAGGTCAAATTCTACCTAGGGTACCGTAAATATATTCTTCGCAATGTTCTAGAGAGTTCTATACTTTTCCCTCACCATTTTTTTTATTATAAATGTTTTACTCAAATCTCGTCTAAGTTTAGTAAAAAATTTGACAATAAAACAGGCACGTTTATATTCTTTTTATAAGATCGATCGTCTAAATTACTCTAAATTAACTTAATTAAGAAGATTTGAATTTTAGTATAAGGAAACATGTTCATTAT